GGTCCTCAAACTTTTTAAACAGGGGGCCAGTTCACTGCCCCTCAGACCGTTAGAGGGCCAGACTATAGTTTAAAAAAAAACTATGAACAAATTCCTATGCACACTGCACATATCTTATTTTGAAGTAAAAAAACAAAAAGGGAACAAATACAATATTTGTATTTGCAAGTGGCCCGCAGGCCGTAGTTTGAGGACCCCTGAGCTAGAGCCTAAAGCAAGTATATCTGTTATTACTACTTCTATTTAACATTGTACTTATCCAATTCAGTGCAAGAAGATAAGAGTAAAGGCATAAAGATCAGAAAGGAAAACGTAACACTTATTCTACTAACTGATGACATGAATATATGTATAGAAAAAACCACAGAATCTACATAAAAACAAAACCCTAAAGCTAACAAATAAATATAATAAGACTACAGGAAATAACACCAATAAATAAAATAAATTTTATTTCAGATACTATAAATTATAATTATAAAATTGAATTTAAAAAATACAGTTTATAATAACATAAAAACTAAACATATCAAAATAAATTTAATAAAATAAGTATAGAATTGTTACAATGAAAATTCCAAAACATCTTAGAAATTAAAGAAGACCCACCTGAGTAGAGAGATATATTAAGACTCAGTATTGTTTATAAGTCCATACTTTGAAATTTATTTATAAATTAAGCTTAACCCCAAAATCCATGCATGTTGTTTTGAGGAAATTATATAATACATCAAAATTATATAGGAAAAGTCCAATAATTTTTTTAAAATAACAAAGTTGAAGACCCAACCCTATTTAATCTCAAGTTGTATTAGAAAGCTATACTAATCAAAACAGTGTTGTATCGACAGAGGGATAGATTTATATATTGATAACGAATTTTTGATAAAGGTTCAAAGTGCAGAAAATTTGGGTCTATTTATGGACTCTGTTATCTTTTATTAATCTACTAGAGGCCCAGTGCATGAAATTCATGCATGGGGGGTCCCCTCATCCCAGCCTACACCCTCTCCAATCCGGGACCCCTCAGGAAATGTCCAACTGCCGGTTTAGGCCCGATCCCATATCGGGTCTAAACTGGCAGGCGGACATCCTTCTCACAATCTGGGACCACTGGCTCCTAACTGCTCACCTGCCTGCCTGCCTGATCACCCCTAGTTCCCCCCCAATGGCCTGGTCACCCCCCAACTATCCCACCTGCTGGTCTGGTCTCCCCTAACTGCCCCCTTTCCCCCCCCCTTCCCCGCAGCCTGGTCACCCCACGCAGCCTGTTCATTCATCCATTCAGTTGTTTTGGTTATGGCAGTCGCATATATATATATATATATATATATATATATATATATATATATAATTTGTGTATCTTTACATCAATAGCCATATTGTCCTGATTAGCGTATATTGAGCTTTGAAATCAGATTGAGTCTCTCATTTTCAAGAATAACCATGTAAATTTCTACAGATTTGAAAAAAAAAAGGCAGACCATCTTCAGCAATTAACTTTTCTCCTTGAGAGAATCAGCGTCTGGCTTATCCCTGGGCTCTGGTCGAGACTAGATGCCTCATAATGAGACACTAGGTGACCATAAAGATCTACACTGGCTCATAACAACAACTGTTAGACTGGCCAACTGGTCAGAATCTTGAAATAGATGAAGTAGGAAGATTAATGACAGGCAGTCTAGTAAAGTTTTTGTGTGAATGTACCACTCACAATGAGCACAATGTATAGAAATATTCATAAATTCTTTGCATAGTTATTCAAGGTTGCCTATTGCAAAGAAAACCTTCAATAATCAAGTGGACAAGGTGCCCCATTCTGTGGATGTAAATCAACTTTTCCTTGTGAGCAACCCCAGTGTTTGTTTAATGGGCTTATATTCAAAGCAGCTGTGGTTGTGTGATGAGGTCTATGCATGAGCTCAACAAGATGGATTTTCCCTCCCCACAGTTTCTGCCTACTGACATCACTGGTTGCCCAATTGCCAATGGCAGGGGTTAAACATTAAGCCCCATGTTTTCAAGTATTACTCTGGATGAGAAACCATTCTGCACTAATTGATTATATTGGACCTCTGCCACCATAGTGAAAAGGACAATTTGTCCTTACTGGATTGGATAATTTTCCCGTATATGCATTTGCCTTCCTTGGCTGCAGTGCTTCTACCAGATTCACTAAGAACAAATTTATAACAATGCTTTATTGTTGTCATGGTGTTCCCCACAAAATGGTTTCTGGTTCAGGAACTAATTTTACCATAAAAAGTACAGTAATGAGCTCCTACTTATGAAATTTATGGATCATACCATATATTCCTTTACACAGAAGCAGCTGGCCTTATGGGTCATTGCCATGTCCTATTAAAGACTCGGGTATGGTGCTTGCTGGAAAGCACCATCTGCAAGGCTGTAACACTACCCCATAAGAATCAGTCTGTCTTTGAATCAATGATTTATAAGTGGTGCTTTTTAATTCAATTGCCAAAACGCATGGGTTCAAGACTAGAGAGACAAAAGTGGGAGAGGTTCTCTTACTATCATACCCAATAATCCATTCACTGAATCCTTGCTTCCCATTTCCATAATTTTGAGTTCTGTCAGTTTAAAGGTCATCTCAAGGGAGGAATAACTTCACAAATGTAAGCAATATTTCCATGGTAGCATGGAAGTTGAGACTGCCACTTGGCAAATTTGGGCTCCTTATACTACTGAATCAATAGACAAAAATGTATTGAAATCCAGTTATTAAAGGGTAATAGACACTCTCAAGGCAGAGAAGACTATGCCTTGAATCCAGGGGATTCTTTTGAACACATCTAATTACTTCAAATTCAGTAGTAGATGTTAATTAAAGACCACAGTAATGAATAAAGGCAAGACCACTAAAGACTCAAATGCTTTAGGAATGAAGATTAGAGTCCCCTAACAGGTAAAGAACTCTGAGTCTCTAAAGCAGCGGTTCTCAACCTGTGGGTGCGACCCCTTTGGCGGTCAAACGACCCTTTCACGGGGGTCGCCTAAGACCATCCTGCATATCAGATATTTACATTATGATTCATAACAGTAGCAACATTACAGTTATGAAGTAGCAACGAAAATAGTTTTATGGTTGGGTCACAACATGAGGAACTGTATTTAAAGTGCCAGAAGGTTGAAAACCACTGCTCTAAAGTGAGGTAAAGGGGAATCTGTATTGGTTAATGAAAAAAGTTATAAATATTATTTACAGCTTCATAACTAGTTACTGACATGAAGACTATAATAGTTATACCCAATTATTCCCTTGCTGGAGAGGTGTTCAAGCAAACTCCACATAATTTTGGCGGTGGGGGTGGGGAGGAGACTAGGTAATAATGTAGTTGAAATAATGGAAGTCAACTATGATCAGAAGATCTATTCTAAAAAACATGCCCTTACAGAGAACCTGAATAGACACCTCTCCTGAATAGACACATGTCCAGATGGCCAATAGACACTAACTGTCAGACACTAAAAGGTGTTCAATGCCACTAATGTCAGAGAATGCAAATTAAAACCATAATGAGATATCACCTCACACCTATCAGAATGGCCATCATCAATAACTCCACAAACAACAAGTGTTGACGAGAATGTAAAGAAAGAGGAACCCCAGTACTCTAGTGGTGGGAATGCAGATTGGTGCAGTCACTACAGAAAACAGTATGGAGGGTCCTCAAAAATTAAGAGTGGGACTGCCTTATGAACCAGTTATTCCACTTCTGGGTATATATCTGAAGAACCCAAAACACTCATTTGAAGGAATACATGCACCCCTTTGTTCAGTGCAGCATTATTTATAATAGTCAAAATATGGAAGCAACCCAAGTGCCCATCAATAGACAAGTTATAAAAAAACTGTGGTATAAACATATATATAATGAAATATATACTCTTCCATATAAATAATGAAATATTACCATTTGCATGGATGGACCTAGAGGGTATTATGCTAAATGAAATAAGTCAGTCAAAGAAAGACAAATGCCATATGATTTCATTTATATGTGAAATCTAAAAAACAAAATAAGTAAACAAAATTGAAACAGACTCATAGACTCAGAGAAGAGACTGATAGCTGCCAGAGGGGAGGGGGGTTGTGGGACAAGTGAAAAACGTGAGGGGTTTAAGAAGTACAGATTAGTGGTCACAAAACAGTCATGGGGATGTAAAGTACATCATAGAGAATACAGTCAATAACATTGTAATAACTGTGCATGGTGCTAGATGGATACTGGAAATATCAAGGGGATTACTATAAAGTACATGATTATCTATCCCCTATGCTGTACACTTGAAACTAATACAAAATAATATTGAATGTAAATAAAATTGAAAAATAAACTTTTAAAAGAAGCTAAATAAATAAATAGATAACAGACCCCTATTTTACATATATTTTATATGTTTTAAATATTATATATTTTTTACATATTTTATATATTATATATTTCTTTATTATCTGTTCGTACATCTCCACTAGGAGATCATGAATGTGTCCTGTCTCTAAATCATCACACTGTGGCATCTTTAGGGCACTGCCATATTCAGTTTCTCAATATGGCAGCGCCCTAAATCTGAGGGAGACCCTTTTAAATGACACTGGCCAAAAGGAAATATCAGAATGAATTATTGTCTTAAAAAGGAGTATCCCTTGTTCTTATTCTGAACCTGGACACATTTCCTTGCATGTCCTATGTCCTATTTCTATTAGTGTCTGTAACCTATCTGACAAAAGAGAAGGCAAACTTATTTTCTGCATCTGCTTTTACCAGAAACTGTGTGCCTCTGAACTCATCATGGAATCAATTTACCCCCGTGAGCTTTCCCTAAATAGGCCAGTAGCAAATTTCCCTTTTGAGAGCAGAGCAGGAGCCAGCATAGTAAGAAAAACTAGATTTTTTAAAAAAAAACAACAAATTACAGAATGTACCCTGAGAATGGCCACTGCTAGATTGGAAGAAGAGGATTAGACTACTCACATATATATGATTTAATCCATTCAAAATTTGAACAAGTCCTTGCTCCCTGGATGTTCCTAAAAGCACCACCTTGATAATGTTGCTGCTATATAAAGAGAACGAAGCAAGGCAGAACTGCACTGGCAACCAGCTCACTCACAGTGGTGATTCAACTGAGCAGACTCGAATCAAGCCAAGGCAAGTCACTACCAGCAACAGAAACAGCAGCATAAGTACATCTAAGTAGCAGCCAAACTCCTAAATGAAGAAAATCCCCCGTCAAATATCACCTTACAAATTCAATTTTGTATTTTACTTTTTTGTCTGTGACAATTCTCTTACTTCTGTAATTGGAAGTATCATCAATTGTCATTGTTTTCTGAAATACTTAGGAAATTAAAATAATTCTCACATTTGTGGTAAAAAGAAGGACTTACCCAAAGAAGACACTTGAATCTGACCCGTTGGTAATTATGGTCAAGAGGTTAGCAGAGATGAGGTATTTTGTAAGTTAGAGTCCAGAGTGAGGTTGTGACTTCTCCTCAGCCGCTGAGGTGGGCACTGTGCTTGCCCAGCAGGGACTCTCATGGTTCACACTGTAGGGCACCTCAGTGTATAACATGGTCACACTCAAACACACATTTTCTCCTTTTGAAGCTTGAACCAGTACCTTGCATGTGTCCATCCAGGACCTTCCAGTCTCTCAACAGTGACTTATTAGAGATTTCTACTGCATAAAGCCCACTAGACTCCACACAACAGCCACCAATAATTCCTGTTCCATATATCCAGAGCCCTGTTGGGAATGAGAACAATTCAGCATTGGTTGTTGTCATGACAAAGCATAGAGGGAGTTTAGGGTTATGTCTTCATGTGATAAAAGACTAGTTAGAGAAGGAAAATGTGTGAGAAAGCCTGATGGTCTAAAGATATGGTCATAAATCAGTATTATGTACTTTAAGATTTCAGACAGGTAAAGCAGGTTTTGATGATGACAAGTGGGTCTAAGAAGGCTAATAAATGACAACTCTTTATCACCAATAAAATTGCTGGCTTAGTTTAAAATTCAAATGGGCTTCCTAATTACCCATCCTCACCACTCCTATCCTCCTGGGAACACCTGAAAAGAAACAGGTGTTTGGACAATAAATATACTGTCTAGGATTTTACACTGGTCTGAGTTTAGAAAAGAAATTGAATCCCTGTGGATACTGACTTTTGACAAATTATCTCCAAACAAATTGAGAAAAAATTTGGCTAATGCTGTCACCAACCAACCATTACACCTTCTCTTCTTTTGATGGGAACCATACAGTGGTGGAGCAAGAGACCAGTAGTGTTGGGGAAATTTTCTTTTCATGGAAATCACAGAAATGGTTTTCTTAAGTAAGTCTTTCTTCTGGCTGAAATATGTAAAACTACTTTGTGGTAAGTGGCTGAGGAGTTTTAAGGAACATACTTCCCTCTAAAACTAACAAGATACAGTACTTTGCTGTGATATGAGTGGCCAAAGAGCAGTTTGGGTGGAAGTTTTTGGAATGAAGGTCAAAAAACTTTGAGACAAGGGCTGTTGGATGGCTTGTCCTTATGGTCATGGAGCCTCATCTGGTTATACAAGGACCTGTATAGAAACTGAATAGAAACAAAATAAATGCTAATAACTCCTATGTATCAAGTGCCTACCAGTGGTCACAAAGAGTTAGGTATTTTCTACATATTGGCTCTAGTTCCAACAACTACACTTCAAGATAGATATCACTGTCCCAAATGCATAGGCTAGAGTCAGACATTGTTCTCTTGAATGAATGAGTGGAAGTGATGTGGAGGTTGGTAGATGACAAAAGTAAGAAACAAAGTGGTACTCTCTTGGTTGGATAGCACCAATAACAAAGAAAGATGGGTTTTTACCTGATCAGAAAAGAATATGGCTTCTGAGGTAGTCAATGGGAGGCTGATAAAATGCTGACTCTGCTTCCTGGCTCTGTGGTCTATTGTGGGAGAGAAAAAGCAGTTAGTGACACCCACTCGGTGGGAGGTGGTTTCCATGGGGCTGAGTCAAGTTTTCTTTAAGGGAGTGTATTAGTTAAGATTCTCATGAGAAACACACCCAATAGGATGTATATATACACAGCGGTTTATTTTACCTCATGCAATTGTGGGGGTTGTCAAGTCTGAGATGTGTAGATCTGGCCAGGAGTATGGAAACCCAGGGAAATGTTAATGTTGCTGTCTCGGGTCCAAAGGTAGAATCCCTTCTTCTTCAGGGGACCTCAATCTTTTCTCTTAATACTTTTAACTGATTGCATGAGATCTATCCACAAGCCTACTAATTTAAAGATTAATAAAATCTTAAAAATACCTGTAGAGCAACATCTAGACCAGTGATGGCGAACCTATGACACGCGTGTCAGAGGTGACACGCGAACTCATTTTTTTGGTTGATTTTTCTTTGTTAAATGGCATTTAAATATATAAAATAAATATCAAAAATATAAATCTTTGTTTTACTATGGTTGCAAATATCAAAAAATTTCTATATGTGACACGGCACCAGAGTTAAGTTAGGGTTTTTCAAAATGCTGACATGCTGAGCTCAAAAGGTTCGCCATCACTGATCTAGACTGATGTTTGAGCAAAAACTGGGAACCACCAATACCCAAGTTGACACATAAAATTAACCAAGAGAGGGAGGAAGAAAAATTATAAAAATAAGGTGAAGATATGGATAGAGTGAATTTATATAGAATGAGTATCCTGGGCCAATAGGTAGAATGAGTAGAGAAAAAAATAAATGAAAGAGTAAAGGTATAAAAGAATCCAAGAGAAGAAGAGATTGCAGGAATTTGAATTTTCAAATGGCCTACAATGACAATGACAGGAAGCATTGTTTTCAAAAGGAAGACCAGAGGGGGGAGGTGTAGGTGCTGTTGGAGGCCTGAGCAGGTTAGTAGACTGATCTTTATCATTGTTGAAATGAAGTGTTGCTGGGGCACCATTCTGATTTCTTGGTGAAAATCTTCTCTTACTTAGGAGCATAAAGGGATGAATCACCTAAGTTGGAACTCAATGTCAGTACCCGCTATGGTCAGGAAACCCTATGCTCTGTAAATGGACTTGAGAAAGATACAAATCGTCTTTGTATGCTACTTGAGTTGAAATACTAGCTACTCCAGCCTTTTCTCTGGGGTAGCTAGCCCACACTTTTACTATTTGTATTGTCAGATTTGAGAAGCCTTTGAGATCTGAGTGGGCATGTCAAAAATAGCAGACATTCGCTACTTCCCTACTTTACATGTTTGAGGCTCATCCAGTCCACTTCTCCCAGGTCAGAATTCAAGTGGCTTCACAGGCCTTGCCCAGACGTGGCTTACAGGAGCTGTCCATCACTGGGATTTGGTCTGCCTTTGTCTGTGTACCTGCCTGGTATCCCATGTGTGGCCATTGCCTTTGCCATGATCCCTTCTGAATTATAGAGAATGACTCTCTAGCACTGCCCCTTGCCTTGACCCAACCAATTCTGTTGCAGAGGGCACCGCCATGCAGCACTAAAACAAAGCATATGCTAAGCCCTTTCTCAGAGCATTGCGAACAATAGCGTTAGCTGTGGATGCTCAGACACAGCAAAACAAAATAAAACAAAACCCAGCAATAACAAGACCTCCCTACCCAAGCTGCTCTTGGGGGCTATTTTAGCTTATCCTTGAGCTCCTGGATCCTAACCCTGCCAGTCTGCTGAGTAACTGCATGCTCAACCCGCCTCATCTGAAGTAAGTCCTAGACTCTTCTTTTATTGACTTCCTGCATCCCCTCTTAAGGGGAACTCCAAATTCTGATGCTCCATAGTCTGTGGGATAACCCCACATACATACCTTATAAAGTAAATGTGGAGTGACAGACAGTCACACTGGCCTGTGTTATAATCCTGCCTGCTCTTGCTGTGTGCTGCATGATCTGGGGCAAAGCTTCATAAAAGAAAAATATTAATTCTGTTCTCAAAGTATTACTGTATATGTTCAATGGAGTTAAGTCTCATGTTTGTGAAATCAAACTACCACACCACCGAACAAAGGTCAGTGCTGAGTCAATTAAATATGAATATGATGAATATGAACATGACTTTGACATCCCACTTGCATTTATCTGGGACAAGAGGAACTTAAGGACCATTGTCCTGTTCACCAATCATCCAGAGAAACTTGATCATAGCTCAATAGCAAACATGGTAATTCTGCAAAACATGGAGACATAGACCATTCACTAGGCAAAATATTTCTGAAAATGGCAAGTTCTTCCTCTTGCAATTATCTATATTAATAAAAGGATAATATGCTAATTAGACTGGACAGACCGGGCGTCTTCTAGAGGTCATTTTGGACGTCCTTCCTGACAAAGCTGGGGGTGTAGCCAGCCTGCAAACCACCCACAGCCCCTTGCCCAGGCCAGTCCTGCCCCCCAGCAGGGACCCCCCAACCCAATTGGGGGTGTGGCCAGCCTGCAAATCCTTTGCAGCCCCAAGCCCAGGCCGGCCCCGCCCCCCAGTGGGAACCCCCACCCCAATCAGGGGAGTGGCCATCCTAAAAACTGCTGGCGGCCCCTTCCCAGGCCAGCCCCACTCCCAGTGGGGACCCCCACCCTGATCCTAGGTCCCCTTCAGCCAGCTCCCACCCATGCACCAGGCCTCTATCCTATACAATAAAAGGGTAATATGCAAATTGACCCTAAAGGTAGAATGACCAGAATGACCGCTGGACCAGTCACTATGAGATGCACTGACCACCGCTTGGTCCCTTTCCCTGGCCAGCAGGCTCCGATTGCCTGATGGCCACCCATGGTGTGGGTGGGGCCGGTGAGTGGGCGGGAACAGCCAACCTCTCGGTCCCTTCCCCCGGCCATTAGGCACTGATCACCTGATGGTGAACAAAGAACCAGGGGTGGGTGGCGGCGGGGGGTGGGGCTGGCTGCGGGCAGCTGGGGAAGATGGCCCTGATCACAGGCCAGGCCTAGGGACCATACCCACGCAGGCATTTCATGTGCCAGGCCTCTAGTATCTTATAAGATACTAAATATATGTCAAAACTGTTGAATCTGGGGTATGCTAAAGAAATGGACGTTTTA